TTTTTTTTCTTTTCCTCCTTCTTTTCTTCTTCTCCCCTCTCCCCCATCCTTGGTACTGGTATGCAAATGCTCTACTACTGACCTATATCCCTAGCCCAATTTTGCTTGTTTTGAAATCAATTTTCCTGTTCCATCATTTTTACAAAATGGTAGATAGACTTTATTATTGATATTACCTAATGTATAGTCTCAATTTTGCTTTTGTGGTTCTCATTGGAAAAATTTTATAGAACTCTGAGCACAGTGCACATCTACAGAGTAATCTCCTTTTGAAAATATCTGCTATCCTCTGTCTTTTTATTTTTCATGGCCACCAAATAATGCAGTTGGAGTCCTTAGGATAAACCAATATCACTATGTTATAAGTTTCCTTCTTTGGTCATTAGAATGTAATGGAAAGTGTTTGAAATTTGTTGGCCTTTCAGATGCCTTCAGACGAAACTCAAGAATCACTTGAGTTTAGATGCCAAAAATATGTTTGAAAAGTATACATTGTCTGGGCATAGTGGCGCATGCCTGTAATCCCAGCAATTCGGGAGGCTGAGGCAGGAGGATCACGAGTTCCAAGTCAGCCTCAGCAAAAGCAAGGTGCTAAGCAATTCAGTGAGACCCTGTCTCTAAATAAAATATGAAATGGGGCTGGGTATGTGGCTCAGTGGTTGAATGCCCCTGAGTTCCATTCCTGGTTATCCCCCTGTACCCAGAAAAAAAAAAGAGTATACATGGGATTGGTTTGGCTCTGTATTTTTAGATGAGTGTGGGATTACTTGCCTGGACAACCCAGCTCATTCTGGCTGCTGTTAATAAACTTGGGGTACATCCAGCTGCTCTTGTAGTAGAGAACCCATTGGTTCCCTCACTGGAGGAGCCTAAGGCAGTGGAAAATATTTCAGTCCATGCCACTATACTTGCTGAGACCTGCTGATGGAAACACTGATCTTTCCTTGCCTGGAATAGGAAGGACAGAGGTTTCTTTAGAGACTTGTGGGCTGTCAAAACCCAACACAACCTTCTTTCTACCAGCACTGCTGTGCCTGTGGCCTGCTATGCCTGCAGCCCTCTTTGGCTGGGAATCCTGCCTTCTTTCCCCATTATCTCACATGGTGAAAAGCAGTTCCACCCATTACTTTTGCATTTGAGTTCTCTATAAAGTCCACTTATTTAATGGAAAATGAGCCAATTTCTAGAATGATGTCTTGAACTAGAAGGAAGTCCTTAGTAAGACGAGTATACCTAGAAAGGCCTTAAAGCCTCTACCTGTGTAAATCCTGCTACTGCCAGACCAATGCCCAGCAGGCAGATGGAAGGAAGGGCAGAACTGTAACTCCAACTCCTACCAGGACTGCCAAATGGCCAGTTAACCTCCCCAGTCCAGAGGTGCATAGGGGCATCATCATTCAGCCCTTGAGTCAGAGAGGAAGCTCAGGTCACATTTGTCAAATGTGGAGAACAGGGACTGACTTAACTCTTCCATATACTTTAGTGGACATCCTTCCCATGAACTTACTGTGTTCTGTGGGTGAGAAGCTTAACTGGATAGTTTGCATGATGTTGACATAGGAGCCAGTTGAGGCTGAAGGGCCAAAGTAGGCTTAGTGGGTATGTGGTATATAAACCATCTCTCACTGTTCACAATGCTTCTGCTAGAGGGAGACTGCCGCAGTCTGGCTGGGCACAATTCAGGAGCCACTTGTCAAAAGAAACAAACTTTATTTTTCGAACCACACATGCTAAACAAAACAGCTCCTCAGGAAAAACCCTCAGAGCCCAACAGCCACCACCGGCTTCCCACAAGCCTCTCTCCCAACCACAAGCCTCTCCACCTCCCACAATCCTCCTGCTCTTGAGGCCGATTGGCTGGGTCGTGTGGGCGGAGCCAAAATAGTCTCCCAATGAGCAGCTCCGTGGTCTGAAAGGGCGGGGAAACAGCCCAATGAGCATCACCGCAGAGGAGCCAATCAGCTAGATGTTGCTGGGGCCGCTGTGAGCCAATCATCAGCTGGCAGTCTGAAAGTTTGCTGTGTGAGTCTGAAAGTTTGCTGGGGCTGAACTGCTTGCAGAACTTGCCTGGACTATGTATCACTTGTATGCATTGTGAACTCACCTGTATGCATTGTGAACTATCTGTTGGTGCATCGACTTATGGTAGTGTTGGGGTATTTTTGCTAATGATGTCATCGGTGGCACAATTTTCCCAAAAGGAGCCGTCAACTGGTTTGGTGTATCTTCCTCCCTTCTGCTTGTAATGATTGTTCAGCTAAAATTTGGGGGCCAACAGAGGTGAGGCAAAGAACCTCCCCCCCCCCCCACGGTATAAAGACCTCTCCACAGGTGTGGCTGTATACTGGACCGGTAGTCAGTGACGGGTAAGATCCAATTGCAATGGTACCAACCTAAGACAGGAGGCTGACGCCTTGAGGTCAGCTCATCCAATAATGGGTAAGGACCATATGTACTATTGGACAACCTAAGGCAGGCACGGTCCCTAAGCCACATGGTTGTTGTTTAAACAGAGAGGGGAAGATGTTGAGAGCCACAGCCGAAGGGGCCCCAGCAAACTTTCAGACTGCCAGCTGATGATTGGCTCACAGCGGCCCCAGCAACATCTAGCTGATTGGCTCTTCTGCGGTGATGCTCATTGGGCTGTTTCCCCGCCCTTTCAGACCACGGAGCTGCTCATTGGGAGACTATTTTGGCTCCGCCCACACGACCCAGCCAATCGGCCTCAAGAGCAGGAGGATTGTGGGAGGTGGAGAGGCTGGTGGTTGGGAGAGAGGCTTGTGGGAAGCCGGTGGTGGCTGTTGGGCTCTGAGGGTTTTTCCTGAGGAGCTGTTTTGTTTGGCGTGTGTGGTTCGAAAAATAAAGTTTGTTTCTTTTGACAAGTGGCTCCTGAATTGTGCCCAGCCAGACTGCGGCAAGAGACCATGGGGCTGAGCTAGTGTGTTTTGTTTTTGTTTTTGTTTTATTGTTATTGTTTTTTGAGACAAGTTCTCTCTAAGTTGCCCAGGCTGGCCTCAAGCTTGCAATCCTCCTGTCTCAGCCTCAGGAGCAGCTGGAATTACAGGTGTGTGCTACCACATACAGCTTAGTGTGGTTTACATGATCATAAGACATAAGCATTGTGCCCTGATGTTGATTAAGACTATGATGGCAAGATGCCCAGGGTCTCAGTGTGAAAGTGAGGCTGAGACATTTAAGTGCCTGTGTATTAGCTTCCACTGATCCCCTCCAAGATACACCCACATATGCTCCCTGGGGCTACTTCCCCTTGGGGTATGAGTGTTGACCTCTTGCTCTTCATTTTCTTCTTTCTTCCAATACTTTTACTCAACTCCAGGAAATTTTCTTTTTGAATCACAACTCCAAGACTTGTTTGAAGGGTAAATTGAATTTATTAATGAATCAGAGAAAACAGCACAAAATGACCATGAAAAGCCAAGAAAGATGAATAGGGGTTCACTCTGCCTGACTCTCCTGTGCTTATTGGAATAAAGCCTCCCTGGGTTGAAAGGATGGAGCCCCTTCATGAGGGAAGGCTGGTCCTGCAGGGGGAGCATAGTGTTCCTCTGCTTCTGTGTTATGACTCCAAAACTCTCTCCCCATGCCCTGTGGAAACTTTCCTTCCACTGGGTTATAAGTCTGCTCATCTAAGACCTAAACAACTTAGAAAGAATGTTTTTAAAGACCTTTTTTTAAAAATTTTAAACAAAACTTTTCACACCTTTGGATTTTATTTTATTTTGTTTGAAGTAGCATATTTAGAGAGAGATTCAAGCCTGACCCATTTTTAATGCTGCTAAACAATCTAGACCTAGGTTTATCCCTTTCACACTCAGAGAGAAAATATTAAGATCTTACATTAGACTTTTCCACATTAGTATGACCATACATCATCTCATTTGATCCTCACAAGAGCCCTGTGAGGTAGGCAGACAGGCATCATGACTCCAGAACACAGAGGACAGAGTTGTAACTGGGAGAGGTGATAAGTGAATTCATGTCCTCTGGCTCCTGGTCCAGGGCTCCTTCCACTCTAAGATGAACTGAGCTCATCATTATGAGCAAAGCAGCCTTTTTGCTTAGAATAAATGAACTGTCCTTTGGGCTTGCACACACAGGCAATTTAAAGTACAGACCTCATCAGAGAGCTACGGAGTAAACACACCTGAGCTCAGTTCAGCGTCAGCATTAGAAGGATGAATAGGACAGAACATGGACATCTTTGACAAGGGTTTCTGCTTGTTTTCTTGATTCTCACCTGGACCATGTTGTATGTTGTAACTTTAAAGCAGCAAAGTCCAGGAGGAGAGTAGCCATTCAAAGGACTTTTTCATCTAGTAATTTATTGATTCCTTCACAAATCCTCTTGAGGTTGGGCCTACAGTCTCCATCTAGACTATAGAGGGTGGATAGGAACTCCACATCAGCAAAGTGGTTGAAGACATGGTTGATGCGCCCATGGGTCCTGGGCGTCAGGTGCCGCTGCACCAGTTCATGAACCAGTTCCTTGCACTCATGCAGGAGCTTGGAGAGCACGTTCTTATCAAAAGTGTATTCTACCTCATAGAAGCTGACCATAGTCATGGCGGTCTGGTTCAACTTCTTCCGGAACTTCTCTACAATAACAACCTCTTCCTGATTGAACTGGTTGTTCCTATAGAGAATCCCAATTTTGATTGCCACCTTGATTAAGTCTTTCATTATCTTGTGGGCTTCCTTCTTGTTGTGGGTGTGCTCTTTGGTGACTTTGTAGAGCTCATCAAAGATCTCACTGCTGGTGTCGTCAATCAACATGTTGACCACAGTTTTGCTTGCTATTTTGCTCAGAATCTTCTTCTGGGCTTGAATGGCAAGACTCTTTGAACTAAACACATCAGAACCTATAGTAAGAAAAGAAAGAAATGTTATAGGAATATGAGACTTGTTAATTATGTTTCTAAAAACTCATGTCTTTATACCATAACTCCCTAACTGAACTCCACACAAGCCTGGTGGCCCCACATTCTCTTCACATGCTGTGCCTCTTTGCCCTTTGGAACCTTCTTAACTGTTCTTGTGCTCTTTGCAAGGGAAGTGGTCTCCTCTTGTCCAGGCTACATCTCACTATTTTGGATCTTCAAGCATAAAATCTTTTTTTTTTTTTGATTCTACTAGCTCATGGAGAACTCCTACAATTGCTGCCACCATGGAAACATTCAGTTTCACAAATTACACAGGAGCAAATTATTGCATAATGACAGGGATCAGTAGAACCAAAGCAGTAGGCACCAAGGGCCTTCCATGGCCCCAGTAAGCTCTCTCTCCAAAGTCTAAGACTATAGAATCTTTAAGCAACTTGACATCCAAGTGAACCTGACATAGTCAGGATTTTCCCTTCAGCCTCAGAGCAAAGAGAATAAACACATATCATATAGAACATAAAAGGAATGAATTTTGTCTCCTGACCACCCCAAGAAAGCTCTGATTTCCTGATTTATGCTTTTCCAGAGTTTGAGACAAATGTTATTCTTGCCCAGTGTGATCATCCACTGTGGTCTCCAGACTTTGTGTGAATAACTTTTGCTCAAAAAAAAAAAAATCAAATATGTCCCCCTATGACAAATATTTAGAAGCACTAGGATTTTCAAAAGATTGTGCTGTAAGCTTTCAAGTCAGTAATGGCCCTGTCACTGAAACATGTCTATGTCTCCTCAGGTGATTATTCCAAAAGGAACAATGAAATATAGATGGATCTGTCTTGAAATATAAAAAAAATTGAGTCATTACTTTATAGTCACAGCTTCTAAAAACTGCCTAAGAATAAGGTCTGTTATCATTTGGATCTTTAATGTACCTTGAAAAGCCTATGTGTTAGGCAATGCCAGAATATTCAGAGGTGGGATAATGAGATTATGATAGCTGTAATTCATCAGTGAATTAATCCATTCAATAGATTAATAATTTGAATGGACTACTGGGTGGTAAACTGTAGTCTGGTGGGAATGGCTGGAGAAAGCAGGTCATTGGAAGCATGCCTTTGGGGACTATAACTTATCCATGGATTCTTGTTCTCTCTCTGCTTCCTGGCTGCCATGACCCTCTGCCATGATGTTCTGCTTCACCTTGGTCTAATTTTTAAAGAAGACCTTGCTGTGCACCCTTTAAATGGACAATAATGGATATCATATCACAATGGCACTTGAATTACTTCATATTTCTGATCTCTAGAAATATACAATGGTGCATTAGTGTTTTAAACCACTAATCTTGTGATAAATTGTTACAGAAGCAATCGGAAATTAATTCAGGTGAGTAGAATTCAAACTTCCTATTTTATTTTTTGAGACAGAATCTTACTGTTGTCCATGCCATCCTTAAATTCCTGCACTCAAGCAATCCTCCTGCCTCAGCCTCCTGAGTAGCTGGAACTGTAGGTGCATGTTCATTTCCCAATATTATTTGATCAAGGAAATCTTTCTGTCTTCTTAGTAGAGCAATCACCTGTCAGGTTTGCCAGCAATCAGGAGTTTCCCAGATAGTGGACTTCACTGACAAATTTGAAAAAGTCCCAGGCAAATTAGGACAAGTTGGTCACTTTACTTTTATTTTTGAAGTATTAGTGATATGTGTATCATTGAGATTAAAAAATGAAGAACAGAGATGCAAAAAAAGAAAACATTTCAGAGAATGGAAGCAGATAATGTTTAATTAATGGGTAAGATGCTTCCAGATACAGCAGGGTAAGCTGTACACTCTACATATTGCCACACTTCTCACCCCTTTCTACCTGCTTTTCAATTTTAGTGTCATGAGCTGGGGGTGTAGATCAGTGGTTGAGGGCTTGCCTAACATATGTGAGGCTTTGAATTTGATCTCCAGCACTGTGATTAATTAATTAAACTAATTCTAGAGTCAATGCTAACCCTTTTTATCCCCTTTAGACCAAGGACTCTTTATTCCTTTTTTTTTCCTATAGTTATTCAGCACTTACTATTAGCTTGATTCTGTATGAAGTATTATGGAAAAATACCCCCAAAAGTATTCAGTTGGGTCTTATTTTGAATATGGTTCTGCAGGGAGGCAAGATATAGATAACAAAACAAAATGCAGAAACATGAAAACAGCCTAAATTAGCATGAGTGGTAATTGTTGGCATGAGCTCTGAGGACTCTGAAGGTAGATTTGAATGTAGGTAGATGGAGACAGCTACAATGTTAGAAAGTAGTTTCTAAAGTCAGGATACAGGCCAGTAATTTTCACCAAGATGATAAGTCCCTTGGTGGTTTCCCTGATGTTTCCAGTCATCTTTCTTGTAACAAAAAAAACCCCAAAACAAAACAAAAACAAATAAACTTATTTTGTACCTACACATGAATCGGGAGTACAAACTTCTAGGGTGAGAGCTTAGAAGGATCACAGTGTGAACAACATCTCTGAAGACTTAAAGATCAAAACTCTAGAGCAGAAAAACTCAAATGTTATAGATAAACAAAATCACTGGAAAGCTTTTAGGAAAAAAATTCACCACCAACACCAATGATCCCAAGCTGTCACAAGCTCCCTAAGTGATTATGACATGTTAAATGTGCCCCACCATGTATCCTGTGAGTCCTGTTCTGTCCTCTAGGATAGAAGGATCTGTAGTCAAGTTAAATGAGTTTGTAGATGACTAAATATTAAGGCTGGCTCTTGATGGTTCACCATACAAGTAGTTTACTAAGGCTTTGAGCAGTTCTGCGAGAAAGATAGCTGCATGTATGGTTTTATTTAGTCCACTTCCCAAACTTTCTGGAGACACACACACACACACACACACACACACACACACACACACACACACACCCCACATCTTTTACATGTAGAAAATAATGGGAAAGATGAAGAGAAATAAAATAAAGACAGTCTGGTCAACAGAACACTTTTAATACCTCCCAAAGATATGTCAGGGCACAGTGGGGAGATGCCACTTCTTATGGTTTGGATATGAGGTATGCCCCCCCTCCAAAACTCCTGTTAATGCAGGAATATTCAGAGGTAAAATGATTAGATTATTAAACTGTAACCTGATCAGTCCATCCTAGTTTGAATGAACTGACTGGGTGGTAACTGTTGGCAGGTGGGGTTTGACAGGAGTAGGTGGACCACTGAGGGCATTCCCTGAAAAGTTTGTTCTTCCTACAGCCCCTTCCTGTCCTTCTTTTTCTGCTTCTGACCCATCTATGAGATGAGCCATTTTCCTGTGCTCTGGGCCCTTCCACCATGATGTGCTGCATCACCTTGGGCCCAGAGCAATGTGGTCAGCCATCTGTGGACTGAGACATCTGAATCTGTGAGCCCCAAATAAACTTTTCCTCCTCTAAGTTGTTCTTGGTGGGTATTTTGGTCACAGTGATGAAAAGCTAACTAAAATACCACCGTTCCACCATGCACACATGATGTTACAATGATTTGAGGGAGAGGGTGTGCCCTGAGGGGCAGTCCGATTCAGAAGATTTTGCACAAGCAAGGGAAATCTTGGCCTTGCTTCCATCCATCCTTTTGTCTCAGTCTTCTGCAAAGGGACCGTGTTGGTGACCTATAAGGAAGGGATACTGTAGGCAGAGAGGAAGAGCATGAGTTAGGCTTTGAGAGTCAAGGTCAGGAGTATGCTTGGAATATTTGGGGGAATAGGCCTAACTAGTGGACATATGCTTCTTGGTGGAAAATACCAAATATCCAGGATAGGCCTTGGCAAAACTCGTTTTCTCATCCCTGTATACAATCCTGAGGAAAGCTCTTTTGGCTAAGGATAAATTTCTTTTGACTATGTTTGAACAAAAGTTCCCATTCTCTAGCCATGAAAGGTAAGAGATTAAATATGATACTTCAGAGCCTCTAAACATAGAGGTATAAATATGATTATACAGCAATAATATAGCTCCCCTGACATAATGAGACAACATTGATGAAGCTGAAAAATCCATCCTTGTAGAAAGAAATGGAAACTTTCTGAACTAAGATTGATGGGAGAGCTCAAGTAAAGGAATGTGAAGTCAATGCTTTGAAAGTAAGTATACTTAGGACATTTATAAAAAAAAAGGAAAAGTACCAGGACTATGTTGGGAGAATGGTATGACAGGAATAGGGAACTAGTTTAGGGAGACAGAAAGCAAAAGATAGTCTAAGTGGGGACTTCACTGGGACTAGTCTGAGTTACTGCTTTTATAAATGATGTTCATCCAGAGAATAAGTGATGTTTCCATGATTCTAGAAAACACCAACCTTTCTCAGATGGTGAAATGCCACACTGATGGTGATAAACAGCAAGATCTTACCAAGCCGGATGAATGGGCCTAAAAGAAGCAGATGAGCCTGGTAAGATGAGCATGGTAATAACAAGGTAATAGATTTGAGGAAAGATGAAATAAATCATGATTATAGAAGATTATAGCCTCTGAGCTGTCAGCTATCGCCTAGGAGAGTACTTTGAGCCTCATCCAGGATGTGGAGGTGGAGAGGGACCAAGGGACAGCTCTTCTGTCACTCACAGGACTCTGCAACTTCTCTACCTCTATGGTGTGGAAAAAACTTGAATATAAATATGGAGAGTTGTATCAAAATTAGATAGCTTGAAATTATGTGTAACAGCCAGCATACAGACAGTATCACTTGACTTCTGTAAACAGCTTAAGCTGAAGGCAGGAAAGCAAATTAGCTAAAAAATGTTAAGTAGAAGTTAACAGTGGACATGGTATCCAGACAAAAATAACCTGTGATGCTTTATGAGCACCATCTGTCACGACAGAGGACCCAGGGTACAGGGAAGGTGGGAGGGAAGGCCCCAGGTCATGGGGGGCAGGGTAAGACCCTGTGCCAGAGGGAGATCTGTGGTAGTCCATGCTTCTGACTCTCAATCACTTAC